TACCTTGAGTGTCTCTTGGGTGTTGTGTTGAGTGGACATTTATTTCTAAAAATCATAATATGTCTTGATATATACCGGACTCCTGACAACCCTATTAGCATCGCTCGTTATCACATGAATTATTGAAAATTCTAAATTGTAAAGTAATAAAACTGCTGATGTTTTGCAAAATCTTCATACAGGACATTTAAGTTGTCCAGATAAAATCAATAGAGACAGGACACTAGAAACTCATAAAGTCCAAGATATGTCCTTTTTATGGGATGCTTGGCAACCCTAGTTGTTAGGTACAGAGCCAAAAAAATCAATAAAGAATAAGATGCGTTATTTTTATACATAAAATACACTGATGACAAATAAAATTGCAACACCTTTAAAGACGATAGTTTCGACCCGAGATTTTTTTACAACGATGATCGCCGTGTACAAGGCACAAGAGCCATTTGAGGCAGAGGCTTACAGAATAAGAGGCACAGTTTATATAGATACGTAGGGAACATAACAGTTAACGAGTTGAACAGATTGTAAATGTAAATGGCACACACAGCTACTAGGGCGGCTAGCTAATCTCCATTGCAGACGCCTTCTCAGACACATTTGTGCTTGTTCAATACCCAAATCTCTTTGTAATGTGTGAGCTGTACTTGTGAGTACAATTTTTTTTTTGTATTTGTTTAAGGTATGGGCTACCAGGAATCCCTTCAATGAGTATATCAGAACCTTTTTCAATCAATTCAAGGGCTCTTATATTTGAATTAATTTAAATTTTAACGTTCCCCAAATATGTCAGGGTACAGCCAACAAAATCTTATCTACCTGTTCTTGATAATGACCGAGATAATTGAAAGTACTTAACAAAAATAGGACAAAACATGAACCTTTTGAATTCTGATCTAATTTACTTTTAATTTTAACACTTCTGTACGTTAGGCTAGGGGTAAAAATTGGTCTAGACTTCTCAGCACTTCCCCTTTTGGAGACAGCAGGTAATGACTCCAGGCACCTCCCAAAGAAAAGGTATTGCCTAGTAGCTCGGCCCTGAGACTCAAGCACATTAAATTTAATCCCGCCCTCATCTGTATGTTATCTCTAATATCAAATATGCATTAAGGCAGTCATTTTCAGAAGCAAAGCCTAAATGGAACTCGAGATCACCTGAATTTAATATTCGTTAAAGAGAAATTGATGCTATCATATAAGCACAGATGTGTTGTATTAAATATCAACTGGTAAAACTGTTCCTATATATACTTCCACACACACACACACACATATATATATATATATATATATAGGAACCAATTTGCTGTCATTACTTGAGCAGGAGATTTAAGTGAATATATTATCCATCATATGTTCATTTATCCACACTTTTTAGGTGTACTAACATAACAAATTCAACCACCATGGTTAAAGAGATTCTCAATGGAAAAATAAATGCTGAAACATTTTTTAGTGCCATGTCCCTTCAAGATATAGACGATCATGGTCCTCCTTTATTATCTGTAAGTTACCATGCCTTTTTTTTTTTTTTTTTAAATTTATTTACTGATAGCTTACCCAATACAAGACCCAAAACCACTCACGGTAGAGGGTTACTGATTGAGGTTCTTCTAAGGACAGAAAGAGGAATTAAGAAATACATATTATAAGGACATGTAGGACAGATATTGGTTGACCCTAGATTTCAAGAGACGAAGATTGTAGTTGTCAGGGAACTATCCTCTCGGGAGTCTGTTCCACAAAGCAACAGTTCTGGGAAAGAAGGTGAGTGAAACTTGCTTCTATCAAAGGAAACCAAAGGGAATAGGGATTGTTTAGAACTGTGAACATGGCATGGTAAGTTGTAGCTGTGAATATCTGTCCTGTTGGAACTAAAGAATGTAACTCGTCTTGAGTGACTGCCATAGTAATAGAGTGGAGATAGGCAAGCAACATTTTGTCCATGAGATGAGGGTCACAATGTGGAGAATAATTCATGATTTACAAGGCTGCAAAAGCACTTCTGAACTCAAGATGAGGCTGGACAGTGAGGATTTGGTAGCACCAGACCCCTTGGGAAAGATAATGGGAGTAGTTTCTGGTTGCCTTCTCCAGAGATTGGAATTCAGTTTTCATTCTTTGAATGTTTGACACCCAAAGCTAGAAAAAAAATCAATTCTACCATGCTGTTTAACCCATAGATGTGGGGAGATGGAATTGTGCCTTTTCAAAGGGCAAAAATCAACACATCTGCCTAGGCTGGAATTTTAACCAGGCTTACCAATTCTTGCATATCCCAAAGTTATTTGTATAAAAATGAGGCATGCACATATGACCTAAATTGAAATCTTTTGAACTACCAATGTACTTACATCATAATCACTATTTCTAATCTATTTTTAACCATTCCACTAGTGGATGTACTTATACATCTTTACGAAACTCACATTTCCGCCTGTCAACATATACATTTTTAAGGCATCCATGAAACGTTGGTCCCTAACATTTGTGTTATAAGATAGCTCATGTTTAGTGCCATTTCCAAACTAGTGTAGACATATAGTAGCATACAATAAAGCGTTTGTTTGTTTATAGCATTTATAAACTAACTAGCACTTAGTGTTATTTTTCAAACTAGCAGACATATTGTCACATACAATATGACCTGCTTTGTGACATTTATATGAGTGTCATTTAGTGTAGACTTATTGAAACCAAAATAGCAGCACCCACAAGAAAATTCTGTCAGCATCTTTACAGCCATTCTATATCCTTCTAGTAAATGGTAATTTCTTATTTTTCCCCAAAACAATCCAGCAGAGCAAGGTAAAAATGAAATCCAACAATGAAAGTGTTAAATGACTGACAATCTTGATATTTGTTAGAATGAATTGTCAGGGTACTTCCACATGGCAGACATTTGTTTTTTTTATTATAAATTACTTACCAATTTATTTTTGCATTGGGATAACAAAAGATGCTTTCCAAAAATTCAGCAAAATATTAAGAAACAGAAAAAAGTTTTTTACAAGCAAAAATATTCACCCAGTACAAGGCCTAAGGGCCACCTAAGGGAGAGTGTTACTGTTTAGAGTTGTATTAGCATAAGAAAGGAAAAGAAGTGAAGTTCTTAGAGTTATGCAGGAAAGATAACAGCTAATTCTAGACTTGAAGAGGCCAAGATTTTATTAGTGAATAAAATTTCAAAGTTCAGGTGGAGATGCTAGAAGTATTGAGTTGAGGTAGATTTTAGAAGGAACCCGAAACTCAATCCAAAACAGGAAACAATAAATCTTTACCCCTGTTCAAAAGTCTAGAGAGGAATATGAACTGGACGATAATGGCAGTGAATGCTAAACAATCTCCTCTCGGGTGAAGAGACTTGAAGCAACAGAAACGTGGTTCTACAGAAGGATGATGAGAATACTATAGACCAAACATATGAGCAACGACAAAGATTTAGAGAAAATGGAAGCAAAAAGGACAGTTAATATCAGGAAGATACAGTTGAAATTTCTAGGGTACATAAGAAAGAGGACTTGGAAAATTTCATTATTCATAGGACAGATTGAATGCAAGAGGAGCAGAGGAAAAAAATGTATAAGCTACCTAATGAGTTTTAGTAAATGGATAGCAGATCAAGGTTTAGGAGAGATAACAAAAAGACAAAATTTACTAAGAGCTACAAAGGACAGGAAATTATGGAGAGCTATAATCATCTACATCCTGACACATTACATAGAAGAAATTACTATTAGGGTGTTCATTCATAGTGAAATTACAGTTAGATCAAAAGGCATAGTAAAAAGTCCATAAAGTTAAAATGTTTCTAATTTACTGTTGCCATATCTGGGCTGATGTTCCTACTGTACATCTTGAAATTGTTGACAAAATCTAAAGGGCCTATAATGTAATCAATCCTGACCTGGTATCTCAACTTCAGTCACTTTCTTACTGATGTGACATGGCTTCCCTCTGTCTTTTCTACAAATATTTTCATGGCAACTATTCTGATGAGATTTTTCTCTGATGCACTGCCTACATGAATTTAAGCATGCTACTAGATTTTAACTAAGTCTCACCACTTTACTGTGGAACTAGCTAGATGCAACTGCCACGTCTAATCTAAGTTTTTCTTATACTTCCCACCTGTGGAACTCCCTTCTGATTCCTTTGTTTCCCTGATAATTGTAATCTTGAAAAAAATCAAATGCAACATCCATCACCATCTTCTGTCTTCTTGAACCCTGTTACTTTTTTGTTGTTTCCTCAATCATCCCCATTCTCAGTCATCTCATTCTTTTTCACTCCTAGTAACCCAGTGTTCTAGTGGCATTGTTGCCTTGCTTGGGGTGAAACAATTAAAAAAAAAAAAAAATAAAAGCCCAAGAGCATTTTAAATAAGCCTGATTAAAATGTATAGACCCACACAAAAGACAACAACAGAAGATAAGAAAGTTATTTTTTTTTTATTTAAAAAAGAAAAAAAAAGTCAGGGAATTTTTTTTTTAATTATTTAATATTATATGGATCTATTAGTTTTATGTAATTAAAAAAAAAAAAAGAAAATGTGTGTTTGCAGATGCATATATATATATATATATATATATATATATATATATATATGTGGTGTGTGTGTGTGTGTGTGTGTGTGTGTGTGTATGTAGGTGTGTCCAAGGAACATAAGCGCTCTTAAAGGATGAATGGTGTGTTGCAGTCGCAGTGCTGGTGGAAAGTATTTAAGCTTTCATTTTTGTTTTTCATATATTTTTAAAATCTGCAGCCACCTGACGCAGAGCACAAGTGAGAAGCAGGGAACAGCGCAGTACTGTAACTATGGCAACAAAGGAGTAGCGGCATGAGGAGGAGGAAGAGGAGGAGGCATATTTGCAAGCTGCTGCTGCTACCACCACCATCACACCATCATTTCCACTGTCATCATGATGTTCACTGTTGCACACAACAAACAATGGTAGTAGTAGTAGTAATACAGTGTCATGCTAGCAAAACTGTTGCTATTAAAAGAATAGTCCTCGCATACGGCGTCCCATGCCTTGCCGGTCATATAGCACATTAAACTTATTGACAAACTGGGGAAGAGAAAGAAAAAAATAAATGGATTAACTGTTGTTGACATAGCTGACAATAACAAGTATGAAAATAAAAATTATGCTGGTCTTTCTCACTATACATTAGTGTTGTATCTAAATATCAACATGCTTATATTAGCAAAAACTAATCTTCAGTTTTCTAAGAGATTTGAATTATTTAAAAATAAAAGAACTGAAGAATCTTAAATTTGTGAAATAGCAAATAATTAAATCAGATATCAATTTTTCTGCCTTGTTACTTTTCCTAAAAAAGGTTTTCCAATCTTTGCAAATATTGTTTTTACAGCTTATCAACCTCTTGCAGGTTATTTAAAGCCACAAAATATTTTTAGATTGTAAGAATTTTTTTTTTTTTTATAGAAATAACAATTTCGTTATATGTCTTACTAATTAATCTATAGCTTGGGGAGAAGAGGTGGATTTATACCTCGCCCAAGGGTATTTGTGCCTAAGTGCGTATAATGAACCCAACTGGAATTGAAACTCTGCTCTCCGATTAACAATTCCAAGCCATTATCCATTACATCACTCACACATCACCTGCACTTACAGCACCGGGTATTCCCAAGCAATCACCCATTTAGGTACTGACCAGGATCAACATTGCTTAACATTGGTGAGCACATGGAAACCAACGTTTCAACATGATATGGCCGTAAGCACAAAATGTTTAATTTAAAACTAACAAGAGATAAATTTTAAAGAATGTGAATGCCATTAGAAATTTAGAAGTAATAAAATTTATTATTCTTACCTGATTGATTGTGTTACAACTCTTTGTTATAGTACCTAAGTACGACATGAGACACACGTCATTACATTGCTAGAAAGAAGAAAAAAAAACTATTATCCAGCAGTAATAATAAACATCAAAAATAAGTTTTTAAAAGGTATTCTTTATATCATTATTTTTAAACATTTTATCTGACATCATTTTGAAAATATTTCAAAATAATGAATATGCTACAAAGAATTTTTTTCTAAAGAGCAATTAATTTTTAGATAATTTAACAAATTTATTTAAATATTGATTTTAAAATATTTTTTTTTAAAGCTAAATTACCAAAACATCATGAAAATGCCACACAAATTCACTGAGAAAACCGTTTAGAGAACCAGTGCAATAATACAAATTCAATGGGAATCCTGCTTTTCATGTGTGTGTGTGTTTGTATCTACATAACATCAGTTACCAGAATAACTTTCAAATGTGATCCACTAAAAAAAATAAAAAAAATTTAAAAAAAATAAATAAATAAATAAAAAAAAGTCAACATCTACAAGTTTTATATTAGATATTTAAAAACATTTTAAACTCTTTTCCCAATACTTACATTGTAAAAGTCTTCTCTAAATTTTGGAGTGTTGATAACAGGTAGTCGGTAACACAGGCTATAGGCTTCTCGAAGGATGTCATGATTCATCTTTAAATCACCTAAGAACACAAAGGGTTAAAGAAAAATAATTCAATTTCTTCAAACTCTGGAACCGAAACAGAGAATACAACATGATAATGTATAAGGGAATGTGACTCTTACCAGCTTGAACAGCCTTGATGTACTGTAGTAAGAGTTTGACACGGCTATCCAACATCTTAATTGAACTATGCTGAGCAATCAAATGTTCTGCTACTGTAATGAAAACAAATATGGAAAGTATAAGCACATAGAGTTTGGGATCTGCAAACAAATGCAATTGAAAAAAATTTATTGCCTTTGACTAGAACATCAGATTAAATGGGCATTAATCAGATTTTCATGAAAGAATTGACATTGTTGGTGGTGTTTTGGGCATATGGACACTTAAAGGGGACTATAATTAATTTGTATTGACAAGGATACACTAAACTTTTTTTTAACATTGTTTTACAAATCCCAAGCTATTCAACATAGATATTAAACAATAATGCATAACAATAAATAAAAAAATAAAAATTAAAAAAAACAAGCATTCAGTAAATGATGAGGAAATATAAAATATTTAGTGACAACAAATTTATTTTACAATAAACAGGAAGTATCACAACCTACCTGATGAGCTTTCTCCAGAATCTGAGGTGGACACCCGCGCAACATGATCGACACCAATTCTCTCAGCTTCTTCTGTGGCAAGAGTATATTCAAGGGGTACAAACAATACAGTAGACTGCAATAAAAATAGGAAGCAACTGTAATGATATTCCCAATATTGATTAAAAAAGAAAAGTTTTTTGTTACATCAATATTAGTATGTAACACCAATTATGACTTATTTTTGTTTTGTGCTATGTTTGTAAATGTGTCAGAGATAGATGCTGTGAAACACCAGAATATAAGGAGAGCATACATTGTCTTCAGGGTGTTAGGCAACAAGATGCTGAAACAGAGTGCTGCAGGACTTGACTAAGATGATAATATCACAGAATGTGAAGAAAAGAAAATCAGATAGCTGAACATTTTGCTGAAGTTTTAAATTGAGAAGAACCAGAGAAACCAGTTGGTGAAAAGGAAGTTGAAGAAGCCTTAGATGAGATCAGATGAAATGAACTTAGTCTCCCTGAGATCAAAAAAGCCATCAGATCAAAGAATGGTAATGTTCCAGGAATGGATGGTGTCATGGCAGAGATATTGAAAGCAGACACTGAGTTTACTACCAAGATTGTGAAGAGATTGCTAGATGAGATCTGGGAAAATGAAATCCTACCCAAAGATTAGAAGAAAGGTTTGATCATGAAGTTACCAAAGAAAGCAAATCTGAAAGAGCAGAACTGGTAAGAGATAACACTCTTGTCTGTGGTAAGCAAGATCCTAGGAAAAATCATCAGTGACAGGATCAAAGCAAGCTTGAAGAGAATTCTAAGAAAGGAAAAGCGATGGAAGGAGTATGGCAAAGTAATTGTTCATCCTAACATGATCAAATAGGTGAACAAATAGCAAGTGATGTTGCACCTCAACATTATAGACTTTGAAAAAAGCCTTTGACTCCATACATCACTAAAATCTCCGGAGGATCACTGCCAGTTATGGAGTGTCTCAAAAGATGATCAATATGGTGAAAGCTTTTTACAATGGCTTCAGGTGTGCCATCATCAATGAAGGTGTTTACAGTGACCGATTTGAAATCAAGGTTGAAGTTAAGCAAGGATGCAGCATGTCAAGCATCCTGTCCTTGATTGTGATGGACTGGGTCATAGGGCAGACTGTCATGAATGATGATATGGGTATCCATTGGATTTCACTTCAAAGACAACATTGTGATAATATCAAAATGACAACACATGCAGGCAAAAACTGAAAATGAGAAGGATCCATTAAGCAGGTTGGGCAGAAGATTAACACAGCTAAAAGCATAATCAATGCAACCCAGCATGTAAAGGGAGGAGAATTGGAAGATGTCAAGGGTTTTATCTGTTTGAGTGCAGCAACTTCAAAACAAGGTGGGGGCATGAAAGATATCAAAGCTAGTGTGGAAGTTGGTCAGCTGAAAAAGGTGGGGAATGTGACTAAAATAAGCAGAAGCACTAAGATCAGGCTTTATAAGAACTTGGTCATCCTAATCCTATTCCATAGTGCAAAACTTGGAAAATAAATCAGGGAAATGACAAGCTTAAAAAGGATTAACATTAGATGGCAAGTCCACATAAAGAGGGTGGAACTTCGCCAACATGCCACTATAGAACCCCTTAGTGTTACAATAAGATGAAAAAAAAAAAATTCATCCGCTACACTTTAAGGTAAGACTCAAACAATGATTGCAACATGGCACTGACTTGAACCTCCAAAAGAGAATGAGAAGACCAAGAACATGGTGAAGGACTGTGAAAAATGATTAGATGAGCAAATCCTGAGGTGAGGAAACAGCAGCAGACAGTACAGCATGGAGAGATTCTGTAGAGGCCTTATACCAGGCAGATCAATAGATGTTTGTATATAAAAGAATTTATTTAATCAACGAAGAAATGTTTGCAATATCAATCTCCAAAGCAATGTCTTAAAATATACAACTTGAAAAAATAAAAATACACACACCTACATACAGAACGAAACAAAGAGGTTAATATTACATAGTAGATGCTATCAAACTACAAATATTTTTTCAAGTCAATATAAAAGTAACATTTAGATAGTTTGTCATTGTTTATGATCATCTCCAGATGTCCAAGGAAGTGCTAAAAAATTTTCAGCACAAACAAAAAGCCCTTTTCTTGGTCATTTGGTCAAATTTTACAAAGTGAGTCAGACTTAAAATTTTTCAGTTCTCTATCCCATTTTTTAAAAATCATTAAATTCCAAGCAAAGCAATAAACCTATTAAAACACAGGGGGTTACTGTGTGTGAAAGGATCTGAGAAAAAATATTATAGAGAGAGCAAAATTATAGAACTAAGGAAACAGAAGATGACAAAGAAAAAAAAAGTCTTTTGCACAGTGAATTGATTAAAATTTTAATAATTGTCAATTTAATAATAAGGTAGATAATGTTAAAACCGTCTACAAAAATATTACTGAAAATGGAAGACTTTTTTTTCTCTCATTTTAAGGTTGATTTTCCTTCATCAATAAATTAAACTAAGTATTAAAAATACCTATATCTGGAAGAGAGGGCAATTTCTATGATAAATGGGAACTGACAAAGTTATTAGTTTCACCTACAATTTAGACTATATATATATATATATATATATATATAAAAAAGATCAGAATTCTTATTTAATACATATAAATAAATAAGAACAGCATTCTTATTTAATTAAAAAGCTTATAGAAAATACCTTGTACTTGATGTTATGTAATGAGAAAAGACTAGTACTCACCTGTCCATTAATAAGTGATTCATACAGTGTAACAGGAAGCTGAAAACAAGAAAATAATATAGTAACACATACATACACACACATACAAATGTAAGAAAGAGTATTAATTGTTCTTTATCAATTGACTCAGATTTGCCCAAATATATCATGATCAGTGTTCTTCAAACTTTTACTCCCAAACCAATGTAATAGCATGACCTATCCAACATGACCCTACATGACCTCATTTAGTCTAAGATTACAACAAAATCTTTAAAAAAATAAAAATAAACAAATAAATTGTTTTAAATTTTTTGACATATATTGAGTTCATAGATATTTTTCAAGGTTCATTTTTTTTCCTCATCAAGCAATCCAGTGGAAAGCAGTGCAATCCAATTACTTTTTGAAGAACTCTGATCAAGATCAGACAATAACCTTGAGTAAAATAAGATAATGACAAGTATATCAGTGAACCAAAGTTCATCGTCGATTAAACTATATTCTCTACCAAGTTATGATGAAAGAAGAATAGAAAACAGAGAGCAGAGTCTTAAAGGCTACACTCATGTATACACATATGTACATGTGTATACTCAAGGGTGTTTAACCAGAGAAAAGGCAAGGGTAGGGAGGACAGCCAGGAAACATTTAATAATGTCTCTCAACCTTTGTTTGAAAAGGAAATTGTAGATTGTCTCTGAGCTGTGGGAGCAACAGTATTCAGAGATATTTTGAAGAAATATATCAGTACTCAACAACTATACCCCAGTTCCTGGATTGAGAACAGACAACACCTAAATAAATTAGGTTTTAAGAGGAGGTCATAGAATGAAAAAGTTAGTGGCAAAAAAGCTCATTTGAATGACACCTAGTGTAATAAAATCTGAACTAGGTTTTAAGCTGAAAAAGAGTGATAATATTGCAGACTGTAAAATTTAATACGAAGATAGACAAATTCTGAGCATAAAGTACATAATATCAGGAAATTCTACTTTAAATTTTAAGAATTTCCAAATAAAAAATCCAAGAGTAACTTCCCTTGAAAATATGCTCCGATTTTCTTCAGAGTTGCTCCCCTTTAAGATGTGTCTGTCAAATATTAGTGAAGATTATTTTATGAAAGCATAAAACAGGAACTGAGTTAATGTTGCGAGTTAAAAGGAAAAAAAAAAAAATAAAATAAAAAAATAATTTTAATAAATACTGAGCCAAGCCTTAGAAACACCTTCTCATCTGCACAAGCTTACCCTATTCCCCTTTAAAGATGGAGGGATACAGACCTGTCGAGAAAAAAAAATTATCATTATAATGAAATTGTAGCTTGATGATGGGAAAATTTAGATATCAAATAACCCCATTCAGACAGCCACAAGTCAGGCTGAGAAGTAGAAGTGACAAAGTTACTTTTAGAGGGATGGAAGCAATAACAAAACACAAGGAAAGTGTGCCCCTCCCCCAAGTTTGTATAATCTATAACAATGTTCCTATCATATGCAGATACAACCTCCCCCCAATATATGTAATTAGACTCACCTAATAGCAATAGAAAAACACAAAAACATAAAAAGAATGTAGAAAACACACATCAATGAGAATTCCATTATAGTGATGGATACACAAAACAAACAAGAATTTTATGAAAAGAGATTTTGAAATTTGTTAAACCTTAAGAAAACTGGTATTTTTTTAATTAAATTTTCTCAGCTTAAACTTATTAAAAGAAATTTTACACATGGCAATGTCTTAATATGCACATGTGTGTCATGTAGCAGTAAACAAGTTAAAACAGAAATATTCTAATATTCTATATATTGAGCAGCTTTCCACTTCTTAAGGGGTCAGTGACACTTAAAAACAGTTTCCAATTCATGATTTTTAATTACAAAATAGATATATAATGGCTTTGGTATTTTAGCAAGAAACATTTTCAATTTTCTATACCATTTTAACACACTGAACTCAAGTAATAAATGGAAATGAGTAATAAAATATACAAAAATTAAAGAACGGTAGCCAAATTGGTTCTGAAAAATGGCACACACAAAAGCATGCATTGTAAAGCAAGTAATTTGTTTAAAAGGTTTTGTCAATCATAAGCTATAATCTGCTCTGAAAGCTAACATTAAAACAAATTTTACTTTATCTTTTAAGTAATTTCAGCTATATTATCTCTGAACAAATTAGATGTTCATGTTAATTATAGGATTACTAGAATTTCAGAAAATAGAAACACCTGAATTTGAATCAAATAAAGTCTATGAAGCTTGTATCATATTTGTAGGATATATCTTTATTTAATTCATCTCCAGTGATGTTTAAATGGAAGTTCTGTTAAAAGAAACAACCATATTGTTTGGTATCATTTAGAAATTACTACCTGTAAACAATGAAAATAAACCAACAGAAACATTGAAAAAAAATTTTATGCAGATAACTGGACAAGCACACACATTGTAATCAAAATAAAAACAATCTCCCAGTAATTATTCTATCAAAATATGATATGCACAAAATAAAACTTCATAGCAAAGAAAAACCATACACCAAGGAAAATGACTGTTTTCTCATGTTATTTCAGAAGCAAGAAGATAAAAATAAAAGCAATGTGAAGTTATATCCACTTTCAAATAAAGTGACCAAAATAATGTTAAGTGATTTGAAAATAATCGAATGCTCTTTAAAATAAAGAGATTTCACTGAAATTCTTATAATAAACAAGATTAAAAAAATAAAAAAAAAGAGATTTGGTACAGAATAGATATCTTTAAAACTTACATCTGTATGACCTGCAAGAGGGTTCAGTTTGAGAAAGATAGGACTCTCATTGATGCGACACATCTGCAAAAGAAATTCAAGTTAAATTCAAAAACTTCTTTGATGAAGAAGCCAAGGGACATCATAAAAAAAACAAAAAAAAACTAAAAATTCATTTTTTTTTTTGTATAAATCTTATATTGTCTTTGCTTGGTGGTATCAGACAAAAAAGTTAGAAAACTGCTCAATGGTCACCAATTGAGGAAGCCTACATGTTGCTCTCAAATGAGAATATATTTTAAAAAAAAAAAAAAAAAGAAAGAAAGAAAGAAAAAAAAAGAGGATATAGTGAGATTTGCATTATTATATTCCATTTCTTTTAGACAAGCCTATTCATCTTGTTATAATCATATTTCAATTGCTGTATTTCCTCCAGTCATCTTCAGGTACCTGTTCATCTTCCTTTGTAACCTTCTCAGAAATTCATACTGAACCTCCCCACCATGCAAAAGCCACTGGGGTAGACTGTTCTCATTTCACTTTCCATAGCAAGTTGATATTTCTAAATAAAACACTCATCAGTGATTCACTGTTGTGACACTAAGTGGGTCCTTGGCAGTTATGAGTTCTAACCTTGGGTCAGGTCTGCTGAAAAGTCATACACACAGGTTCAGTGGAGGAAATGGACAAGCAACACAAAGATAAATGAGACTGATGAGTATTAACTAATAGGAAATATCCTGTTCTGTTACCACAGTACAGTACCTATTGTTTTATTTTCCCTTAGTTTGTCCCCTTTTTAATTTAGGTACATTTTAGTTTAGCCATTGTTTCTGACTACTTCCTGTTTAACCCACTGTAATTATCAGAAATGGCACAATAAGGTACAAGGTCAAAGCACACAGTTCCTACTTACTCCCCTAAAACTACCCACAAATGATAACACCACCAGTATGTAAGTGCTTAACCTTTTTCTCTCGGCATTGGTCTACGTTATTAACATATTGTTTGAACATTTGTTTAAAGTAGCCTCTTTCTATACATTTATTTTTACTGATATACTTCATCATATAGAACTTCATTTCCCCACATGCTGATTGTTCTCATACTGTAACTTCCTTTCTGAGAACTTATCATTGCAAACTTTATAACATATTCCTATAAGCAAACTAATTGATACCTTCCTTTACCCATTTAGATGCACAGTCTCACTGTTACGTCTGGTCTCCACCTGCCTTTCTCAAATTCTTCTTTCTTTTCTTTTACCTGTGTATGTGACTTTTCAGCATACCTGACCCAAGGTTAGTACTCATAACTGAAATTGTGTAATGGTTACCAAATACAATGACAAACAGCTTAGGAAGACCAAAGAGTATAACAGCAAAGATGAGTATATCAGTTCAATGGGAAAGGCACATAATGATAATTCTTCATCTCGAAAATTTCAAAACAGTGAGTTTTACAAATAGAGTACATGTGACACCAGAAGATCAAAGTAATCGTATACATTGCTCCAATTGATATCTCCCAAGACAATGTGAAGATACAGTTTATATTTGGAAATGTAGAAGATATTGAGCCCAGTGTCACCTGCAGCAGGTTACACTGTAGAAACTCTTTTTCTCTGTAAATAAAAAGACTTTTGATGCTATTCTGGACAGTATCACTTGCCACTGCCAACAACCTTGCTGCTCATTTTGTAAATTGCCTGGGCATACTGAAGCAGCAAGGAAAGCTAGTCAACATAGCCACAAAGAATAAAATGTTTGTCCAAAGTTCCATCCTGACAAAACAATCAACCAAAATAAAAAAGATCCTCAATGGCAAGTTGCTTCAATTCTGTGTGGTCAAATGATGTAAGAAGAAAAGAATCTTCTGTCCTTTTCTCTGCATCTTCTCTTACACCTTAAATTGTGAAAATAGCATTTCCATAGAAGTGGACTCAAAAACTCTGTTGCAAAGGAAAATGGAATTGGACTTCCAAGGATATAAACTCCAGACCCCAACTACAACAAAGATGCATCATGTGGAAATGAAATCAAAGGAAATAGTCCAAGATATAATCAGGGCTACAGCATCCTAAAGAGTAGCCGTTGATAGATCCCATAGTGATTCAGGAAAGTGGTCTCAACAGAAGTGGAATACATGGGAACATAAAAAGGAACACAAAAGAAATGGTTGGTGGTAAAATAAAAACACCAAACCCTTATTTCAGCTCCCAAGAAGAACACTTTAGCATTCCGCAAAAGTAACCTGTCATTTTCAAATTGTAAAGTTTACAAAAAAGATAAGGTACAATGATTTGATGAGTAAGTAGTTTCAAGAAGTGAGTCTGCTCACCCACTTTAAATCATTTATCTAAACCCTCAACAAATACCAGACCATCTACATTATGGACATTACTCGCCTGAAAAACTTTCCAGATGTCTCTTGAGTCATTACATTCATAAGAAACAGAGGCAGCAGGCAAGTGCACGTGTGGAAATGCTGAAAGAAGTAAACCTTCTCATAACATTTGTTGAAAAAGTTTGGTAAACCATTGATCCTTGAGGGACCTGGTTTATGTTCATCTCTTGATTTTACAGGGTAATTAACATTAACCTCCTACAAAGACATCACCAAGATTGTCTGCTCAACAAGAATGACATTCACACAAGCATGTGTTAATCTAGAACAGATTGTTAGAGTTTAGCCTCAGAAAACATTCATGTTGCTTGTGACAGTGACTGCAAGAAATAATGCTTTCATTTTGCATGGATGTTCTCACTATTCAAGAGACTCTATGTTGGTGATAGCCATGTGTTAGGTCAAGTGCATTCTAAATGCATGATGGGCAACTGACAGAAGCTGATATTGTTACAAAACTTATGGTTTATGTGATCAATATACAAGCAATAAATTATTTTTCAGCAGTTAGAGCCTTTTTTGATGGCTCTGAAATAATGTCCGAACAGGTGATTGAAATTCCATCCTTGATACCAATTTAAACAAAAGGTGAGGAGCTAGGAGATTAAATTGGTTCAATCAAAGCTTGGGTGACCTGGTCAAAAAGTTCTAGCTAACTCAGAGCTATCAGGTAAATGTCCCAAACAAAAATGATGAGGATATAGACAAACAATTGGCCTCTACCAGAGACTCAAAGCTGTTGTTAAAGGGAACAGAAAGTGTTTAGAAACTTTTGAGATCACACAGTCACTTTGATAGATTTGTACCCTGCTGTCTTTATTCTCTGACTGAACTGGAAGGCTTCCTGTGTAAGCGAAGTGAAGAGGCCAATCCTCTGTGGAATAAAATTCGTTGGAAGTATTTGAGTCAGAATGTCTGCATAATGTAACAATTCAAGTATCACACATATTTCATCATCGAAGTGGTACAGAAGGTGTTTCAATAGCACAACAAAGCAATGAGTCCAAGATTAATAGTGACAAGTCTACAAGCTTGTGATGAGATGAGGTCTTTCTGCCTAAGCCATTAAAGTAGTGAAACCTCCCACATTCTTTGAGTGTAATTTGGTTATTATCTACATTTGTATAAGACTAGATGAGTTTTGTAAGTGTTGGCTTGAACTTTGCTTCAAAGAAATGTTATTCTTAAAGAGTAAGGTGCCTGTGCTTTACATATATTTTACCTTCCACTATTTGTCTGTGCTTCATTTGCATGCAAAGCAAATGTTGACACTCAAAATATTTTTCCCCTGTTTAGGGTAAGTGTAATGCTAGTGGTTTGCAGGAGGGTGGTCTGCACACTACAGATGTATAGAAATATCACTCTTGAGTCATATCTTGAGACTATTTTTTTCATCTAACATTTGCGAGGAGTAAAGAATAATGTACAATGATAGCATTTTCTAGCATGAAAAGTGACCATAGATCCTGTGAGGTTAAGCATTGCTGTAGACCCATAGAGGAGAAACTTTTTGTTATGTGTGTCAACAAACTCTGTTCAAGCTTCCTTTATCCAGTGACCTTTTATGGCCTACAAATACTTGGAAATAGTGAAAGGGATCATATCACACCTGCTTGGAGAGAGGCTTGGCTTATTAGCTCAGAAGTTTCACACAATCTGAAGCTAGGTTCTTGGTACTGACCATGTCAGAAGCTTTTTGTTTTTTGATCTGATAACTTATCTAGAATGTACTGTCACTCAGAGTTTATGGTTTTAATAGTTTCAGATGGTTTATCAGATTGTGTTTGCTGCAGCAATGTCTTTAAAGAAACAACTCAGTACAACTACCATTTTCATATGGTTTGCCTAATTTGGGATTGCTTTGGTAAGTTGGACTTAATTGTACATGTGCAACAATATGTTTCCCACATAGGTCAGAATGAAACAAATGGCATAATGTCATTGGTTCTAACCCGACATCTTGGCCTCAGTCACTTTCTCACTGCTGTAATGTAGCTTCCCTGTGCCTTTTCTATAAATACTTTCATGGAAATTGTTCTGATGAACTTTCATCTATGGTACCTAGACTCTGTGAATTTTAAGAACAGTACTAGATTGATGGCAAGGTTTCATCCTATTATAGTTGAAATGGCTACATGTAACTATAAGTTCTATGCTAGCAGTTTCTTTTTTCATACTTCTTGCTTGTGGAACTCTCTGCCAGCTTCTTGTTTTCTAGTAAAATTTGATGCTCAAAAATTTAAATGCAATGTCAATCATTATTTTCAGTCTTCTTAATTCTTGTTCTCACTCCTTAATAGTACTTTTTCTCTTATTCTCTGACACTCAGTAACTCCTTGCATCTTAGGGCATTATTGACTTGCTTGGGATGAAATAATTAAAAAAAATATGAAACATACTTTTCAAAGGATTTACGAAAAATCTTTTTCACTTAATTTTCTTACTTTAAATATCAGTTTAAAGTTTTTACTTTATTAGATGTTATTGAAAGAAGATAGAATCCTATAGATTTCAGTGTAAGGCATCAGATTGGATAATATGTTCAAAAAAGAAAAACAAAGAAGAAAGAAAAAAGACATCTCAAAGATTTTGTTTCTTTGTAATGGTTAGATTTCTCTTTTGTTCTAAATCATTATGTTGATTACAAAATAAAACTTATTCAATCATTTATAAAACTGATATTTTTTTTACATCTAAGAAAATGTGCAAAAATATACATGGTTCGCATGGTTGGGAGACAACTGTTCTATAAGTTTATGTGATACAGAGATATGGAGTTACCCCAAGACTCAACCACATGGCTGGGCTAGGAGACAGCATAATGAGAATAGCATTCAGTCCCAATTTGTTTTCTTTCTTTTTTTTTTGTGGTCTTCTCAAACAAAAACCTATTTTTTTCCATCAAATCTGTTTGTTTTGAAGACCAATTTTAAAACTTCCTACCCAACACTTATTTTGCCCAATTTGTTTTGTATTTAAACAACTCTAGCATTTGTGATGAAGAAGAACCACTTCAAATGACCTTCAGTTATGAGAGCCAATGCCAATGGATTGCAGTATACTATTACTCCAACTTTTATACAGGCCAAGTCATTGATATTACACCTCTGTCCAGTGCTGTAATTAAAATTTTAGTTCCAACCAAAGGCAGAAATAATTATTTTTGATGGCCTTTATTGTATGATATTACCCAAGTGGCATCAACATTTGTCTTTAGATGGGACTTTGATATAATACCACTTTCAATTGATGATAGGATTTGGAATGTTCCAGGAATATTGCCTATAGCAGAGGCTTATAAACAAATTTCAGATTGCAAATCACCAGTAGAAGAGGAAATGTAGAAAGACCACTCCAACTGACCAGGAAGTCTTTTTCATCAGTTCCAATAAATGTATTTTTATTCATTTTAGTTTAAAGATAAATGAGTTTTAAGCTTTACAATAAGCATTTGTTTGAAAGATTGACCAACGATTAATTTAATGAAAAATATTTCTAAGTTTTATAGTCATTACTATCCCCTTTTCACAAGTTAAAAGTTACATAATTTTCCAAAATTAGATACATCGATGGCAAAAGGTATTCATATTTCAAAGAAAAGAACTATTTTGGATTCCTCATCCCAAAATTAATAAAAAGTTTCAGATATAATCCTCCAATGGATACCTTTTTATGGCAAGTTCAGGATGGTATATTTTAACCTGTCTTTGCCTGACTGTCAAATTGTGCATCTAGCTGTTTTTGCATGGTGTAAATGAGTTTTTATTGATGTACTACTGAAAAGAAAGTTAGCTTAATCTCTGTTGTACTATGAATCATAGCAAGATGCTACAAGGCATTAACTGTTGAAATAAAATACATGAACAGTCAAAATTACTTTTCAGTGTCATGTTTTATCTTTCATTTTTGAGAACACAATTTTTCCCAATGTTTATGCTGCCTGATCTAATAATTATTAATTCCATTATTATTATTATTATATTTCTTTTACTTCAAGGCTACCTGAATAACATTATATTTATAATAACTTTTAGTCTGAAGCTGACATCTTCAGTTATACACTATTGAATGGCCATAACTTGGTTGCTAATTCATCTACCAAGATAAATGTAATACTATTTTTTATATTTTGTCAAGCTCTCTATGCCAGTATTAAAGATTTTTAGATGTATTGAAAATAAAATTTTAGTTTGGGTACCTAATTTTAGAAAGATTTTATGCTTAGCCATTGAAATAATTTTAGGAAAAGGAGTGGAGTCAAAATTTTTTCTTCACCCCTTTATAAATCAAGCAAGTCACAAAAGTAAATTTCCCAAACATAAAAACAATATTAAACTCACCTGTCTATGTACCTTGATATCACTCATATTTGGAGGGCCCCCAGTTGTGTACCAACCAAGGAAGTCCATTTCACTAAACACCTGTTTAACTGGAGAAGGCAAAAAACCTTAGGATACAACTGCATTCAAATTAAACAAACATTTAACATTTCATTCAAACTCCGAGATAGAAAGTTTGGAGAAAAACAATACATCTGTAATAAAAGACTTCTTGAAATAGCAGTTTAAACTCTTTGCAAACCAGAGTTGATATGAATTTTTAAGTTTGGACACAAAAAGGAAACAAAGCAAAAATATAAATTTCAATCATCAATGTGAAAAGTAAACCAACAATAATTCCAAATAACTGAACCTATATTAAAAAGACAAAAGAATAAGAGTAATTACAAGCATAAGTGTATTTCTAGACATATGAGAAGGAAAAAAGGCATAACTTTTTAGAATATTAAATTTTAAAATATCATATATTTGATGGTGAAAATTTGTTCATGACAACAGTTTTATTTTTTACTTAAATTTTAATCCCAAATGTCAGTTTTCTTATTTGACAACGTTTTGATCCTATTTTAAACATTTTGTTCCTGATGTGCATTTTGCAAAAATGATTGACACAGTTGCTGATCCTACAAATATGACAGCACAAGATTGTGTTTTACTTATTTTTTTTATATAATTAGCTTTGACTTGTAGATTTGTACTCTAAATCATATCTGGGTGATCAAATCCCAGGGATATACAAACTAAGGGTAAAACTACAAAAACCCAAAGTGATGTCTACACTGCAATATGATAAAATCTGCAACTTGAACTAAAAGGAACACCTTCAGAAAAGCACAAGTTACAACAGCAAAGAAGACATTCCAAAGACGAAAAAAAAAAAAAAGAAGAAATAATTGACTGGTGAAATTCTTGAAAGAGACAACAAATAATGCCAAAAAATGTCACAAAATATATGTTTAAATAGAAACATCTAAAATAAATGTAAGCAGCAAAAGAGAAATGACTTGATAAAAATGTGCAGAGATTGAAAAGCAACAGAACACAGATGTAGGTATTCACAAAGAGACAAGAAATAGCAAGGTTGAAAATGTGTTTTTTGACAGGATATAGAAAATCTGAAGACATTACATTCATAAAAAGAAAAGGTACAACAGAGATGGAAAGAATAGAACTCTTCTATGAGAACAAATTTGTACCAAAAAGTCATGAGGTAGCAATATGTATAAGTAGGTGGAACCATCACCATATATTGATGTCATGGAAATGCTCAAATCTATATCAGTTATGATCTGACATCTGATGAGTCAGTATAAACACCAACTAGGGAGCTTATAGTATGATGATATGTATTATCAAAGTTTGAACAGGTCATGATAACGCCAAATGAATGAGAAATTCTATTTCTGAAATTGTGAAGACATCTGTCATTCTTTGATCTATGGTGTCATCAGTGGCATAAGTTAGAGTGTGTGCCACTTGATGCAGCACTTTAGTTTACCACCCCATCAGCAATCACAAACAACACATATTGCACAGTGGCTCATTCTTCATTCAAACATGTTTGGTTGAATAATCTGACGATATTATGTCTATTTATTTTTATTGTGATCCTCTCAAATACTCTTATCTACTTCTTAATGTTGATATTAAATTCATTAACCTTTACCACACTAATTTTTTTCTAGAATTGTTCCCCCTGCCACGGCATTTTTTTTGAGGGTGCAAAAACATGAACACCTACTGTTCTAAAATTGTCATAACTTTCTTTGTATTATGCATTTAGATTTTAATTTTGCATATATTTAATGTAATGCATTAGGTTTTGCATGCAGGTTTTGATGTTGAAAACAAAAAGTTGAAATGTGAAATAAAAAACAAATACATTAAAAAATATATGAATAATTCAACATACTTTAACTTTTATTACTCCTTGTGAAGATCTGGAATAAGAAGCAAAATCACTAAAAGGCTTTCATTTTGTCAAAAAAAATGACAACATACAAAGAAGACACAGGAAGTCTTTTTTTCACCAGACTTATATTTATTTGTCTTGTTGATGAATAAAGTTATTATTTCATTGTTTATAAATAGACAAAATAATTCACCTTCAGAAAGGCTATCAGATATATCGATGGTCACCAGTAACTTCCATAAAATTACTCGGGCATGTAATAATACTGAAATCACTAGCATGGTTATCTCCAACCATTTATCAATATCCACTTGCAACCATCATCAATCAAAGAAAACTCCTGAATAAAGGCTTTGATATTGATTTTGTTTACAAAAAATGACGAAAAAATTAATGTGGGTTTAATTGATGTTAGTAGAGTCTAGAAGAATTCAAAATGGTGTTGAAAACAGGAGTTTAGCCTTGTTCCAAAAGTACTATTAAAATACAAATAACCTGCATTTATAGTCTTCAGGTAAGAAGGCCAATAGTAGTAAGGAGAAATTCTATGGTGACTATTGTCACCTGCAGTTTTTAAGGAAGGCACCGTTTTATTTTAATCTTTATTTTCCCCAAGTACTTTCACTCTTATCCAAAATCATCTTCAGAAGTGAATTGCTAAGACAAAAATTAATGTAACTGATAATTGTGTTTTTTTTTTTTTTTGTAAACATACATGAACATGCTGTTATAATTGTTATAAAATTAACTGTTGAAGCTATAGTGTTTTTCATGTTTTTGATCTAAGGGAGGTAACAATCTGTATGATTGTAATCTATTCAATTTTGTTCAAAAACATTTTTAAAACATTGCTATACTCATAACTAACCTTATTTAATGTTGGTTGTTTGCTCCTTATATTGAGGACCTCAAGAATTTGGTTAGGGCTTGGAGAATCTAATACTCACAGGTTGAATAGAGGGAAAGCATGACCAGGGAAAGCAATGCATGATATATCTACTGGGCTTAAGCAAGTGGATGACAGAACATGGTCTCGGGGAAATAGCAAAGGGACAAAACTTATTGAGAGTTACAAGGGATAGGGGGAAGTGAAGAGACAAAAAGATCCTTCAACTGTGAGTACTGTCCAGACTTTAAAACCACTTTTATTTCAATATAGCCTGTACAGGATTATAGCCTACAGTGGACACAAAATTGCCACTCCCATAAAAGTGCTGCCTGAGGCAGACCACCACCTCCACATACGCCAATGGATGTCATGTATCTATGTACTACAAATACTGGATGGAAGGCATTACTTTCAACAACAGACAGCGCACTGGCTGACCATATGTCCTTAATGATCATGTCTATAATTATCTGGAGTTACAGACACAATATTGGCTCAAATCACATCCAAATTAAATGCTGGAACTACAAAATGTATATCTTGCAGATCAGTTCAGCATTTTTTGACATCGTTAACTGGACCCTAGAGTACCAGTAACATATAATATAGTCTGAGGGGACAAGGTTCCAAATGTTTCAGGTTAATCAAAGAGTTTGGGTGTGACACAGACTCCACATGGCCATGGACCAGGGCTTGCAATAAAAAAAAAAATCCTTACTTTTCACCAGTAGTAGTGGGTTTTTAATAGATGAAGCACACACACACACACACGCACACACACACACAAATAAACAAAACTTAAGCTCTTCTTTATAAACTGATGAAAGAAAATTAAAAGAACTTAAATTTAGATATTTGTATTATCACTAAATGTGAAAAACATTAAGTATAAGAACTAATTTTGCTTTAATAAACAAAGAAAATTATCCTTCTTTTGTCAATTTTTAGTTAAAATTCTTAAATTAATCATTAATAAACAGTTATGCTACATTTTCTGCTTATCAAACTAATTTGGAAATATAATGGAAAATTTTTAAAATGATAGCAAACATGGAAAATTTAATAATGATGTGAGACAGGTAATTGTAAATGAAATTCTTTTTTATTGTGAATAGTTGGAATGTACTAATATTCTTTATATAGAAAATGAATGCATAACAATTCTTAGAGTATAGTAAATGTTACTTCAGTATGAAAATTAATTTCCATGTAAAATTATTCAAATTTCAACTGAAACATTTTAATAAAAATAAAGTTGTGATTTTATAAAAAAATTACAATAAAATTTCATTTGTTTTTGTACTTATTCATTTTTAAAACCTTATTATTTTAACTTTTTTATCTTATAAACATTTTAATGAGGTTCTATTTATGCTCCAAGCAACTATAAATGATAAAGTTTATAAAGTTTTGATTTTGGAATGGTTTAAAATTGGCATGAGGGACAATTAAAGTTGTTCTTCAGGGCAGTTCCAGGATGATGTTGAGAAAAGTTAGTCTGGATCCAAGTTGTCAACAAGGAATTGTCCATGTTGTTGATGGTTCCATAATGGTGTGATAATTGTTCAAGTGGTATGGGTTGGGTCCACCTCAAAATATTGACCAGTGACCATTACACTATTCATAACTATTTACACCCATTCTTCATCTACCTCACACCAACAGGTTATTCCAGCAAGATAATATACCATATCAGGTCCAAAATCTTTTTGAAGAGACTCCTGACAAAATGATGTAACCATCACATTCACTTGACATAAGCCCAATCAAGCCTTTATAGAATATGATGGAAAGGTCTATTTGCACACTAGAACCTTCACCTACAAATATCAAGGAGCAGTGGACAACTATTGAAAGAGTATGGCTTAAAACAATGGTTCCCAACCTTTTTTTGGCCATGCCCCCACCTAAGCATCTCTAAAATCCTGATGCCTTCCATGACATATAATTCTTATTATTCGAAAAGCAAACTCCTATTCATAAGGAGGAAGCCTAAAAGGCCATTAATTTAACTTTCCTTAAAAACTTGACCCTGCATATATGCAATAGTATTATCATTTCATTTTAGAATTTTACAATATTTACAAAAATATTGTGTCACTAATATTATATTAAGTATATACATAATAGCACATGTACCTAAATACACACAAATATTTTTATGTGTGCATACTGTATATGCACCATATGTATTAACACAGATGCACACATACTCACACAGATTCATTAGAAAAAAATTCAATATTAAGAACTCATTCTTGAATTACTATCTTTAAAAATCAAATTCC